TGAATAAAATGTATGAAACGACACTTTGCATAAACTAAACAACAGCATTACGGGACTATGAGCACAGACACCGGAGAAAGAAGGTGAGAGGTGAGCCTTACAACTGAGCAGCTAACAGCCTGGAAGCCATACTCAGGCAGCAGCACAAGCAGGAGTAGAAACAGAGCCCAGTGGTCTGTCTGACGAGAGGAGACAGATGCCAGGCTCTGGGAGGCCAAGGCAGCCAGAACTTATGAGGCACACTACTGGATACATAAACACACACACACACACACACACACACACACACAGAGAGAGAGACAGAGACAGACAGGGGGCATGGGAGACAGGAAAGGGGAGGGTGCTCCTGAGATATGCAAAGGGATCCCTTCAAGTCTCTGACAGAGCATCGATCTAGAAGTGCATGAGGTTGGGAGGCTGGAGAAAGTAGCATCAGAAAGTGGGACAAAAGGAGGTCACACAGGGCTAGAGATAGTCTGTACACCCAACAGCCAAGTAAAGAGCCCTTGAAATACACGGGGTACTGGGTGGATTCCTCAGAAAGGCTGGGACTTAATAGTGTGACTTTAATTAGCCTCAGATTAAAGGCTGCTATAGACCTGTCATAAGCAAGCTTAAAAGCAAGCTCCAAACCAATATGCACGTGACTCATCTTTGTGTCAGAACAAAACCCACCACTCAGGCCAATACAACAAAATCCAGCCCTCCACAAGATTAAACAAAACAAAACAAAACCTCACAATATCTAGCATCTCGCCAAAAATTACCAGGCTTGTGGGGGGACTGGGTGGCTCAGTCGGTTAAGCATCCGACTTCAGCTCACATCACGATCTCATGGGTTCGAGAGTTTGAGCCCTACATCGGGCTCAGTGCTGACAGCTCAGAGCCTGAAGCCTGCTTTGAAATCTGCATGTCCCTCGCTCTCTCTGCTCCTCTTCTGCTTGTGTGCTCTCTCTCAAAATTAAATAAATATTAAAAATAATAAAAATTACCAGGCTTGCAAAGAAGCAGAAAAGTAGGACCCATAGAAAGAGGGAAGGGAAATAAAGCAAATGGTAAAATGATACAGAAATGACAGAGGTAGTGAAATTAATAAGCAAAGGTCTTACAACAGCTATTATAAATATTATACATATGTAAAGATGCCAAGGAAAGCATGAACATAATGAAGTAAGGGAAAATACAAGACCCAAATGGAACTTCTAGAAGTAAAACTACAATATCCAAAATGAAAACTGACTAAAATTAACAACAGAGTAGCCACTGCACAACAGAGTAGTGAATCTGAAGATACAGTAACTGGAAACTTTTTTTTTATATTGTTGGTGTTTCGAAGTATATGTGTTTGTGACAGTTAAAGTGTGATACAGGTGAATTCAACGTATCAAGAGTTCTACGGAAGCTGTTCTGCAAAATATTACATACTATACAAACTATTCAAGTCAGACAACACCATTTTTTCAGTGTCTTTTCAACTGAGAAGAACCCTATTCAGCACACTTCTGAGGTGGTGCATACAGAGCAAGCTTTGTTTTTGTTCTTTATTTTCTTCTACAATAGCTTCATATTTCTCTTTCATTTCTGTCGATTCTAGGTGAGGCAGCTCTATTTCTGGATTTTCTAGGGGCAGCAGCTCCTAAGTGACGCTTTAAAAACGCACAGCATGGGGCGCCTGGGTGGCTTGATCGGTTAAGCATCCGACTTCGGCTCAGGTCATGATCTCACGGTCCATGAGTTCGAGCCCCACATCGGGCTCTGTGCTGACCGCTCAGAGCCTGGAGCCTGTTTCAAATTCTGTGTCTCCCTCGCTCTCTGCCCCTCCCCTGTTCATGCTCTGTCTCTGTCTCAAACATAAATAAACGTTAAAAAAAATGTATTAAAAACGCACAGCACTATTAGGTTTCTCCGGTTCTTCATAGAAGGCTGTCAATACCCTGGTCAGTGTGTCCATACCCCCGACTTCTCCAGGCACCTTTAGGACTGCTCGTGCTTTGAGACGGTGCCTTTGTTAAGGCGCCACAGGGACAGTGGCAGCAAGGTGGCCGGTGGGCTCTAGGAACTGGAATTTTTATGTGTGAATTATTTTTTTTTATTACGTACGGTGAATTATTAAATTGCTTCAATATCCAACCATTCACTAAATAATCTTTTTTTTTTTCCTTTGCTGACACAGGATACAATCGTTATCAAATACGAAGTTGTCTGATTCTGTTTTTTTGTTTTTTTTTTTTTTTTTTTTTTTTTTTTAATTTTCTTAATGTTTGTTTACCTTTGAGAGAGAGACAGACACAGAACTGGAAGCAGGCTCCAGGCTCTGAGCTATCAGCACAGAGCCCAATGCGGGGCTTGAACCCACGGACAGCGAGATCATGACCTGAGCCGAAGTCAGACATTCAACCAACTGAGCCACCCAGGCGCCCCTGATTCTGCGCCTTCTAATGTAGCCATCACTCCGTCTCATAATGAGTCACAGTGCTTCGGTTATTAGAGTTTACAACACATTTTAACATTTGATAGGCAAGGCTTCTCTCATCACTCTTCTTTTTTTCAAAATTTCTTTTCCATTCTTGCAGGTCCACTCAAGATGATCCCTGGGACTTCACTCACTACATTTTAAGATGTTACTGAAAAAACATAATTTGGAAAAATGAAGCAGCTTTATAATACTCATTTTTTTTTTTTCTTCCAGGGTTCTATTTCTCTTGATTTAGCTCAGTGATTTTCTGAGACTCTCAGTAAAGTTCTGTGATTTTTTTTATACAGGTCCCTCTTTTTTTCCTTCAGTTTCCAGAATAAATAATTATATATTTCCAATAACATTTTTACTTGTCTTTCTAACAGTGATATATTTTGTTTGCTTCAATCCTTCCTGTATTTGATTTTCTATTTATCACTAATTCAACCCCACACTCTCCCCAACTTACCTATTCTTTCAGTATATGCAAACATGATAGGTGTCTTATCAAATTCTTTGTGCTACTCTGAGGTGAACTGAATGTTCTTCTGAGGATTCCACGCTCTGTCTTCTATAACACTGGGCCTTCTGTCTCCTAGATTCATACAATCGTGCTTCTTGGGGTCTCTAATCAGACCAGTGCGATAGAGGCTTTGTCATTATGTCAGAGGTGTTGGTAGAGGTTAGTGAAGAAGTTCGACCATGTTCGAACTCCTCCAAATATAGGAGAATAAGACCAAGCAATCCAATCCAACAGAAAAATAAGCAAAGGGCAAGTACTTCACAAAAAAGACGCTATCTCAAAGGTCCATAAACATGCAAAATGGTGCTTAGTTTTTTAAAAAAGTTCATTCTGAGAGAGAGAGAGAGAGAGACAGAGAGAGAGGCAGGGGGAGGGAGAGAGGGAGGGAGGGAGAGGGAGAGGGAGAGGGAGAGGGAGAGGGAGAGGGAGAGAGAGAGAGAGAGAGAGAGAGAGACACAGACAGACAGAGAGACAACGCATGTGCAAAAGTGAGGGAGGGACAGCAGGAGAGGGAGAGAGAGAGAACCCCAAGCAGGCTCTGCGCTGAGCACACAGCTTGATCTTGACCATGAGATCATGACCTGAGCCAATATCAAGAGTTGGACGCTTAACCGAATGAGACACCCAGGTGACCCTGGCGCTCAATTTGATTAAAAATTTAGCAAAAGACAAAATAAAACCACAAAACACACCATTCAGCTCTGATTAACAAAAAGTACAAGTCTGGCAATATCAAGTACTGGCAAGGATATGAAGCAAAATGAACTCACATACACTGTTGGTGGGAATATAAACAGGCATGATGACTTCAGAAAGCAAATTAGCATTATTTAGCCAAAGTGAAGATTGGGGGAACTTAAGATCCAGCATGGCCACTTCTGGATATATTCTCTAGGGAAAGCTTGCTTATGTGCTCCAGCTGACATAAATAGAAGAATCTCCATGACAGCTTTGTTCGTAAAAACACTGGAACAGGATTCCAAAACAGGGGAATGGGCAGATAAATTATGACTTAGTCAAAGAGTGGGTAGTGTATAACTACACAAATAAACTACAGCTATGAGCAGCATAAGTGAATGAGGAGAAAAGAAGTACATAGTGCATGAATCCATTTGCGTAAGTTCAAAAATGGAGAAAACTAAAGTATATTAATTATACAGATAAGAATCTATGTGACAAACTAAACAGGGAATAATAAGTTCCAAATTCATGGTACTGATTACTTTGGTGGCAGGTGGAAAACCAGAGATACAATCAGAATGAGGCATACAAGAGGGTGTCAACGATGTTGGGAGTTTAACTATTGAGTTGAGTGGGGGGGATTCAGGTGTTCTTTTTATTAAGCCATACAAATCCATCACATACTCTTCTGTATTTGTAAGTCATAATAAAAAATTAAAAAAAAAACAAAACACTTATAATCTGCAGATCCCCTCATTAAACCTCTGCAGCACAAAACCTGCCCTTGCTTATTACCCCGTAGGATTATTTTCTAGAGAGTGACCTGGGAACACTCCCGCCATGGGAATGCAGGCATAGCAGGCCCAGCAGAAGTAGGGGATTAAGTGAAAGTCTATGTACTGCATAATCAGACACCAACCTCCTTCCCTTTCTCCAAACCGACTGATTACCGCATTCCTCACCATCTCATGAAGTTCAATGTATCAACTTTAACCGATCACAGGCCAATCCCTATGTATTATTGTATCAGCAGCAGCCCACAGATCACGTCTCTCACTGTTCTATGGCCCTACTAGGTCCCTGTAGGTATGACACGGCCTTCCTGGCTGGCAGCACAGCACCCGTGTTCTCCACGGAGAGCTCACAGCAGTCACACCTGTCATCATCATGACATGCTTAACTGTTGGTTGAGCTGGTGTTGGTGTGTATGTGTAATGGAGCATTAACTTAGAAAACACAGTCTGTCACAAAAATGCAGTATTACTTTGTTTCAGAATTCGAAGAGCCAAAAAAAAACCAAAAACAAAAAAAAAAAAAACCAAAAACACGGTCAGAACTTACCTCTGCCACTTCCTTTTGGAAAGTCAATGTCATCTGGGTTCTGCCATAAACAAAAGGTCCATCCTTACAAGAAACATTTTCAAGCCACTTGATAATCAGTGGAGTTGATACGCTAAAAGGCAGATTTCCAATAATATGTACATTTGGAGGATCTGGTTAGCAGGAGGAAAAAACAACTTGTAACGATTTCATCAAAGTATTCTGAATAGTATTTTGGTTAAGAATAAAAGTCAAACTGGGTACTAACAGCGTCAAACAAAAATACATGAAACGACACAGCTACCTAATTTTCAGTCCATTTATTCTTCAAAAGCAATGTTTCCTCATCGTCAGCTTTGAATTATTAAGAAAAACATTCTACCTTAATTAGTGTTCAAAGTCCTCAGGTTTCCCGGCTTAGGAAAACTATGAAAGAGACCGGATTTGAGGGAAAAGGTAATTTGATCCGGACGTGAGGAGGTCAAAGTGCCTATGGGGCACCCAGGTGAAGCTGTCAGAGGATCAGATGCCCAGGAAGGGGGTACAGGCTGCATAGACAGATAGAAGTGTCTGCAGCACACAGGTGGTAAGTGTAACCACAGGAGCAGGGGAATTCCTGCAAATCTGGAGCACAAGAGCAGGTGCTCAAGAAGAAAGATCTCAGGAACATCTAAGAGGTAGCTGGAAAAAGAACCACCAGCAAGGAACAGCTAGAGAAAGTCATACAATGTAAAAGGGAAAAACGGGAGGACCTGGTGTCAGGGAAGACACGAGCAGAGAAAACATCCGGAAGAGCAGGTAACACTCAAATGAATGCCTGAGAACTCCGTCAGGTAAGGTTTGAGAGAGGAAATCGGGAGGTCACCCTGGCTCCGGTGTGACTGGGGCCGGACCGGAGACCTGAAGGCAGTGTGCTGAGAGGAGAGCCGGAAGGCGGAGGCAGGCAGCGGCCACCTCTCTGGTGCTGCGGCCACACACACGGAAGCGGTCACGCCAGTAGTACGTGTTCTCAAGGGCTTTCTAGGCAAGTAACACACCCCATCTATCTCCGGATTCCAAAGAGTTGGTACACAGCGGGGACCCGACTGTCTAAAAAATGAAGACCCTTGGCTGGCCACGGAATGCGAGACGCTGGTAACTGGGTGTGGCTTTGTTTACTAAAACATTTCTTTTTTTCACCATTTGGAAAAAGGAACACTTCCTAGTTTATCCCATCATTACATGGTGTCCTAAAAATAGCTTATTTGAGGAGAATCCTAAACATTTGAAAAATAGAAGACAAATAAAATAGAAGAAAAAGTAATTAGATTTATCATTTTGGAAAAGAGTAGAAAAGCAGAAAAAATTATAATGCACACTACGTACTCAATTCTGTTTTTATAATATTTAATATAAATGTGTAATGTTTGTAATGTATAATAGCATTAAATATTTGTACTATAAATAATTATAAAAGAAAATAAGAAAACCAACCCCAAATCACTTACCATCTTCCCACCGTCTTTTAAGGCTTTCTGGAAAAGCCCTTTCTATCTTATATGTTAACACATCACCATGGACAATTCTCAGTTTTCCAGGTGCTGCATCGGAAAGCATCTAGTTTACAAAAAAATCAATAAAATGAGTTCATACTTTGGAGAATAGTGAAACACACACTCTCTCTCTCATTCTCTTTCTCTCTCTACACACACACACACACACACGCATGCACACACACACACACACACACACACACACACACACACACACACATATCCCCTGCACCCAACATAAAACTTGATTCTTCATGGTTTAAAAAACAACAACCACCACCCAGATGCAGTCCCCTGAAGCTTAGGAAGTTTAAGAGCAGGAGCGAGTACATGTATCACTAACATCCCTTCTAAAGGAGATTTATAAGGAAGAGGTGACCTTCTTTCCACATCAGGTATCACCTCAAGAGGCTCAGACACCCTTGGCTCCAAGTTAGGGAACTTTTGCCCTGAGCACCCCTTGGTGCTGCTGATTCTCTCTCCTAACCTTCTTCTTGCCTAATTCTGGCCACTGGTAGGAAAGATGAAAGAAACACCATAGAAGCCAGAGAAGAGACCCCGGACCAAGGCACCTACTTCGTAGATTACTCCTGCCTTTGGGTAAATGCCGTGCCTTGCACATGCTTCTTTACGGCATTATGAGCTACTATCTCGTAATTGTGCATAGAGAGGTTTCTTCTCCCTGTGATAACATATGCTCCTTAAGGGTAGCACCTGTTTCCCATCTATCTTAATGTCCCCTGCAGCTACAAAGTGCATAGTAGGTGCTTCACATTTTTTGATAAGTGAATAAGCGAACGATCAACTATAAAACGGGAAAACTTCTCCTCCCAGCCTGAGATTTGAGATTCCCAAAATTTGTAAAGTCAAGAAACTTGCGAAAAATTATTTCACTGATAAATCGGGTAGAATTATACAAGTAACACTTCAAAAATACAGCGCTGAAATGCTTAAACTGGTAAGAAGCTAAACATTTCAGTTTGGGAATCATCTAGTCTGGTATATTTAGTCATGGTAGTTTAGCAAAAAAAAAATTGTGTATCTCCAATACTATTGTACTTATAGATTATTTTAAATTACCAAATTTGCTAAAACTTAATCTGATGAGTTCCAGACAATAAATCATGGAAAACATAGTAGCTCCAACATACTATGAATAAAAAAGGAGGTAACTCTCTTTGGGACAGGCTCTTATTGCATAAAAACTATGCATTTAATGACCGCATTTACCATTAATGAAGAATATTAGTTGTTTTCTAGAATTCTGCTTCACATAATTAAAACAAAACAAATTTGCATACCAAAAACAAAGCAGAAGAACTAAAAGCTTATGCTTCATGATCGTACGTATAGAAAGTAATAAAGTAATTAGTAATTAAGACTAAAACAAAACAAAACCATGTAAACTTAGATCTTTGGCATTAATATACATGCTCTGATAACCACGTTTGAAATGTTAAATTTTTAACATTTAACTGATACACACTCAGCTGCATACCAGAAAACTGGTGTAACACACGTTAACCTTCCTTTCCTAGGTTTAAAGTTGTACTGCTAGCCTATTTCTTTAGGATTGCCCTTCAGACTTAAGTCTCAGCCAATGACAAAGCAAATCCTCCCAAGACTACTCTGTAGCTTGATCTTCCCCTTTCAGACTCCCCACGGAGGAAGAAATGAATACTGGTGACCATAGCTTTCTGTGAAAGCCTTGAAGCAATTATGGGGGGGGAAAAAACGCCATACAAACTGAAATGATAGTATGAATGATTACAGACAGTAGCCACTTAAACACCTAATGATATTCAGCAATGACACACATTTTCTTACCAACCACTAATAGAGAATGATGTTTTCATTACCATGACAGTATTTGGGGGATGGTGGGGAGGTGGGAAAGATCACTAGTACAGCCAGAAGAGCACCCCTGCTTTACACTTTAAAACCCTGACGGTGTTAGCTCATAATGTGCTCAAAGCACAGCTGACTACAAATGCAGGCACCCGATTATAGTCAAATGAGTATTTTTACAGACACTCATAAGTTGTCCCATCATTTTTATTTTAGTTTTTAATGCCATATCCTTCCAAAATGAGACTTAAGTCAGTTTAGAGTAAAAGGCATTCATTAGATAAGGCTGTAAAAGAAGAAACAGAAAACCAAACGATGAAAGAAGCAGGTATGTAAATCCTACAGGTGTTAGCTCTGACAATTTATACACTGAATTATAGAATTTTTACTCTCTACTGGAAATAATTATACTAAGTCTCCAGGAGAGAAAATGTTTGTTTTTTTTCTTCCTAGCATTAAGTTTTGTGAGGGGTATATGGAACAAAATAATAGAGAATGCCTTTAACAAAAATGAGGAAACAAATGCAGGAGTATTCTTCTTATGGTCACTTAAAAAATCTCTCGAAGTCAAGGTTTTAGAGATAGCTTTTCTGCAGGGGGCAAGCACCTAAGGTCCACCTAGGTAATTTGTTGGTGATCTCATTTGATGAGGAAATTTTTTTTTTAAGTTTATTTATATTTACTTTGAGAGAGACAGAGAGAGAGAGAGAGCACACATTCAGGGGAGGGGCAGAGAGAGTGGGACAGAGGATCCAAAGTGGGCTCGGTCCCGACAGAAGAGACACCGATGCGGGGCTCGAACTCAAGAACCAGAAGATTATGACCTGAGCTGAAGTCGGACACTTAACCGACTGAGCCACCTAGGTGCCCCTGATGAGGAAATAATTTATGCGACTTTTGGAACTTATGCACAACTAGAAATTCCTTGAGAACAAAGAACTATATTGAATGGCCATTTGGTATGTTTTATGCCACCTCTCATGGTGGGTGAGGGACTCCTGGCAGCCAGCATTGTAGAGTGAGCTAAAGCATTAATTACACAGCCTGGTGATATTACCTTCTTCCTGACCTGTTACATAGTAGGAACCCAAACACTGTTGAAATAAGTGCTAGGCAAACTGTTAGGAAAACTATAGGAGAATGAAGGAATCTATAATACAGAATGATAGGTGAAAAACAATTTTTATTCTTCTGTAGAACACACAGAAAAGACTAATGCTATTATTCAAAAGGAATTTAAGATAACGTTACAATAGATATTTTTTTTTTTAAGGAAGAAGATGACAGCATGACTTCAAAGAGTCTCCTCGTTTTATTTTTTAAACAGGACCAAAACATGCATGGCAGAAACTCATGTACTCAGTCTCATCAAGGATTTAGAGATTTAATAAACTTTATATTCAAACAGTGCTTACTCCTTTCAGCGTTAACATTTCTTAAAGAGAAACTTCTACAGTAGCCTATCTTTTTCTTGTCTGATTGCTATGGCTAAGATTTCCAGCATTATGTTGAATAAAAATGGGGACAATGGACATCCTTGTCTTGTTCCAGATCTCAGAGGAAAAGCTGTCAGTTTTTCACAATTTAGTACAGCATTGGCTATGGATTTTTCATAATATGGCCTTTATGATGTTGAGATATGTTCCCTCTAAATCTACTGTGTTGAGTTTTTATCATGAATGGATGTCGTACTTTGTCAAATGCTTTTTCTGCATCTATTGAAATGATCATATGGTTTTTATTCTTTCTATTAATGTGATGTATCACATTGATTAATTTATAAATATTGGACTACTCTTGCATTCCTAGAATAAATCCCACTTGATCATGGTGAATGATTTTCTGATGAATAATAATGAAGTAGCAGAAAGAAAAGTTAAGGAAACAATCCCATTTACAACTGTACCAAAAATAACAAAATTCCTAGGAATAAACTTAACCAAAGAAACAAAAGACCCATACTCCAAAAACTATGAAACCCCGATGAAAAACATTAAAGATGACACAAATGGAAAGATATTCCATACTCCTGCATTGGAAGAGACAACATGGTTAAAATGTTCACACTACTTAAAGCAACCTACAGATTCAACGCACCCCTATCAAAATACGAACATTTTCACAGAACTAGTACATATTACCCTAAAATTTGTATGGAACCAAAAAGACCCCAAATAGCCAAAGCAATCTTGAAAAAGAACAAACCTGGAGGTATCACAACCACAGATATCAAGATATACTGAAAAGCTACAGTAACCAAAACAGTACAGTACTGGCAAAAAAAAAAAAAAAAAAAAAAAAAAAAAACAAGACACATGGATCAATGGGGCAGAACTGAGAGCCCAGAAATGAAACCAAGTTTGAAAGGTCAATTAACCTTTGACAAAGGGGCAGGGATACAGTGGGAAAAAAACATGGTCTCCTCAACAAATGTGCTGGGAAAACTGGACAGCTACATGCAAAAGAATAAAACTTGACCACTTTCTTACACCATACACAAAAATAAAATGGATTAAAGACCTAAATGTGAGACCTGAAATCACAAAACTACTAGAAGAAAACACAGGCAGTAATTCTTTTGACATTGGCCATTAAAAAAAAAAAATTTCCAGATACATCTCCTCAGGCAAGGGAAGCCAAAGCAAAATTAAACTACTGGGACTAACCAAAATAAAAAGTTTTCTCACAGTGAAAGAAACCATCAACAAAACACAAAGGCAACCTACTGAATGGGAGAAGATATTTGCAAATGATAGATCTGATATGGGGTTAATATCCAAAATATATAAAGAACTTCTACAACTCAACACACAAAAAACAAATAATTCTATTGAAAAATGGAAAAAGGTCTTTTTCCAAAGACAAGATACAGATGGCCAACAGACACATAAAAAGATGCTCAACATCACTAATCAGAGAAATGCAAATCAAAACCACAATGAGATATCACTTTATACCCATCAGAATGGCTAAAATAAAAACCATAAGAAATAACAAATGATGGCGTGGTGGAGAAAAAGGGAATCCTTGTGCACTGTTGGTGGGAATGCAAATTGGCACGGCCACTGTGGAAAACAGTATGGAGGTTTCTCAAAAACTTAAGAATACAATTTCTATATGACCCAGTAATTCCACTACTGGGTATTCACCCCCCAAAAAACTAAAACAGTATTTTGAAAAGACATATGCGCCCCTATGTTTTCTGCAGCATTATTT